AAAAAAAAAACAAGGAAAAAAAAAAAAAAAGAAAAGGAAAGGAAAATAAACTATTCCTCAAGTTATACAGACTCTCGCTTATTTTCAATCCCAGAGCAACACTATTTCTGATTTGGAACTGAAACTAGATTCCAAGTTCCTCATTACTTAAAACCATGCCCATACATTCAGAATGCTCTCCTTTCCCTTCCACTGTATGACCCAGAGCTACTCTGAGCACACACAGAACTCTACAACACCATGGCTTCCACACCACAGGAAAACTCACCCACTTCTGCCACATAACAAACTATGTGGAGGTACAGGATGAGGTCTGAATGCAACACAGAACCTTGGGATCTTCTACAAAAGTCTGGGTTTTCTCTTTTTTTTTTTTTTTGTACCAGGGATCAAACTCGGGACCTTGCCTCTATGAGGCAGGTGGTGGAAACACTGAGCTAAATTCCCAACCCTCAAGGTCCTGTTTTTTATATAATTATTTCCTTACCAAATTAAAGGCCCCTGTTCCAAGCTTGACTCCCCCTTCGAATTCATAGAAGAATTCTTGTTCATTTTTGTTCTTCTGCATTACATGCAGAATAGAAAGACATTCTCTGGATTGAAGAAAAAGGTATAGTGTAAGTTTCCTATGACTCTGAAAATAAATCTTAAATGAAATTTCACGCTTACACACTATAAATTTCATCACCCACAATACTACGGAATTTTTCAGTGGATCATCTTGTGCTGTCTTTACATTGAAAGCTATAGAGTAGGAATCATTCAGGAGCAAAGGGAAACCCACTCATCCAGTGTTTAGCAGGAACAGGGCTCGAACATCAGTGAGCACAAGCCAGGCACCCAGAGCGTGGCACCTGCACAGCTTTGTGGCAGCGTTCACAGGAGGCTCCTGAGTGCTCGGTTCCTCTGAGCTACGCTCACCGCACAGCCTTTCTTCCCACTGAGAACCGAGCCGCCGCTGGCAGAGACCTGAATATCAGGGCAAATGCCAGGGTCTCAGGTAGGCCAAGTAAATTAGAACTTTAAGTGGGAAAGACTGAAAGGAGAAACTAAATTCCATCACAACTACCCCGTCTTTTTATTTTTTCCTGCTCTATCTATGCAAATCTTTCTTTTTCTTTTTCTTTTTTTTTTTTTTTTGGTTCTGAGGATTGAACTCAGGTCCTTGTGCTTGTGAAGAAGGCGGCAGAACCACTGAGCTAAATCTCTGGCCCTATGCAAATCTTTCCAACTTCTCACTTTAATTTCTCTTCTATATACAGTTAAGTCTTCAATTTAGGAACATTTGAATTGCGAACTTTCACAGCTATCTATAAAAGATACCTTTGTCAGGTAGAAATGAATCCAACTTACAAACATTCTTCTAGAATGGAATTCGTTCACAAATTAGGGACTTACTGTATTTCTCTTTTCCATTCACATCATCTTCTAAAAGCAAATACTTAATCAAAGTAATACAAATTAAAACAATGACCAAGATATAAAAATTGGTATTAACTGAGAATGGCTTATCGAGTGGATGAATATATTTTAAAAGGTAATAAGGAATAATTAGACATGCATCCCCTAATAGGATGGAACTACATAAAACATGAAATTCACTTACAAAGTTTTCTAGCCAAATTCATCTAACCTGAATCTAACAAGTACAGAGACCTCAGTTAGTAAGACCCACAATGGGCTATAGGATTCCATTTAGACGCTGACCAAGCCATGGACGTACCATCCAGTCACTGGGCCACTCATATCACACTTCCACTTCACAGTTTATATGGGGCATTATCACCATAATTAAATTATCAATGTTAATTTGGTGCAGTTAATCTCTTACAGTTTCTGATTTTCTGTCATACCTAGAAAAGGCCTTTAAAAGTGACATCATTTGCCCACTAATATCACTTCTGTGGTATTTCTGCCACAGATTCATACCCGACATTTAATCACCAAGAAACATCAGGTTAGGGCCGGGGATTTAGCTCAGTGGTTCCACTGCCTGCTTCACAAGAGCAAGGTCCCGAGTCGTCCTATCCCTACTACCTGCCCCCAGAAAGAAACGGCAGGTTAAGTCCACTTTGAGACATGTCCAATGAAATAACTGCCCAACATTCATTTAAAATGCCAGGATCATGAAAGACAAAGAGAAAGAGGAACATTCCCAGATTAGAAGAGTGAGGAGACCTGACAGCTAAATGCAACACTCAACATCCCAGGGTGGATCCAAGACCAGAGAAGGAGCACTAGTGATTTGTAAGCAAGGGAAACAGATGATATACATGTCATGAAAACAGTATAAAATAGGACAACAGGTAGAAAATGAAACCATAGTTGAGCCAAGTTTGTGTACTTTATGTGCAATGGCACAATATTAACTCTAAGATAAGTTTAAAATGACATATAATCAATCACTACCACAACTGCCCAAAAAATTAGGTATAATTAAGAAGACAATAAGGCCGGGATTTAGCTCAGTGGTGCTGCATCTACCTCACAGCACAATGTCCTGGGTTTGATGCCCGGTACAAAAAAAAAAACAATAAAGGATTATACCAGAATTTTAAATTTTTTATTAAAGCGGTGGGGCAGGGACCGCGTGGATCCAGTGGCCTGGTGAAAGGCGCCTGGGGTGTGAGTGCCGGCCGAGCCATGACAGGATAAAACTGCTGATACAACTGCGCTCTATAAATTCCTGTCAGCTCCTTGGGATTTGGAAAGAAAATGCCCGGTGTCATACCTAGTGAAAGTAACAGGTTTTCGAGGGGTCGTCCATCTAAGGAAAATAGACTTTCCTTGAGGTCTTTTCAAAAAAAGGGAACTAAGAGAGCCTGAGATTTTACAGACTCTCAAGAAAATGAATAAAAAGCTCTGAATACAGAGTATCAGAACTGACCAAGTTGCTCCTGCAGCACAGTCCTCACCTATAAACTGTGAGAACAGAGAAAACCAGCTGCCGTTTGTGGGAATGAATAACCTTGGCAATACTTGTTATCTTAATAGTATACTTCAGGTATTGTATTTTTGTCCTGGATCTAAATCTGGAGTGAAACGCTTATTTAATATTATTTCAAAGAAGAAAGAGCACTAAAGCATATAGCCAATAAAAAGGACAAGAGAAACTGCAAAGAAGATTCTCTGGCAAGTTATGCACTTCTATGCAGTTTACAGTCCTCAGTCATTTCAATGGAACAGCTTCAGACTGGTTTCCTCCTAAATCTGGAGAAATACATGACAAGCTTGTACTCAGCCAAGACAACTAACTGCTTACCACACTCAGGGAACTCAAACCTATGTACAAGGATAACTACAGCACAATGCACAGAAGTACTACAGTGTATTTTGGGAAACATTCAAGAAACTTGCCAACTTCTTTAAAAAAAAAAAAAGTTAAAATGTGGCAGGATTACCTACAAAGGTAGAAGAAAAACCTCATTAGAAAGAGGAAGTGAGTGCAATTAACAGCATGGAAATGGACAAGAAAGGGTGACACCAAATTTGGTAACACGAAGAAAAAAGTCAAAGTTTCCAAGGAACACCAGCCACTGGATGAGAACCAGAGACAAGCTAGATCAAAAGGAAAAGCTGCTGGGGACACACTGGAGACTCCTCCTAAAGTCATCCCCAAGTTTGAGAGCACACAACCCTCACAGAAGAAATCAAGAGTTAAACTGGTTAAAGTCTGAAACGAAGCAGCCCAGCATTCTTTCTAAGTTTTGTAGTCGGGGAAAACTAATAACAAACCAAGGACAATCAAGAAAATGAGTATGATCTTGAAGAGGACTTTGCAAAGTACGAAAGCGATGGTATAACTAATGGTTGTGGATTTGAATCTCCAGAAAACACCAAACTTATAGATGTTAATGAAGTTAACAAAGGTGCCGAGCAAATTGGTATGAACTAGTGGAAAAATTATTTCAAACTCAGTTGGTATTAAGGACTCATTGCTTGGAATATGAAAGTTTAAGACAAAGAAGGTTTCCAGGACAGCAAGTGCACTGGTACAAGAAGATGAGCTTTCCAAAGTAGAGGAGAGTTCTGAAACTTCTCCAGAGCCAAAAACAGAAATGAAGACCTTGAGATGGGCAATTTCAGTTTGCTTCGTGTGCAGAGGATTGTAGGAGAAGATAAATATTTCTGTGAAAATTACCATCATTACACTGAAGTTGAATGAAGTCTTCTGTTTGACAAAATGCCTGAAATTATAACCATTCACTTGAAGTGCTTCACTCCTAGTGGCCTGGAGTTTCACTGTTACAGTGGCAGACTTTCCAAGATCAACACTCCCTTACTGACACCTCTTAAGCTGTCGCTAGAACGGAGCACAAGGCCAACCAAAGACAGCCGTGGCTTATTTGCAGCTGTAACGCACAGTGGCACTACAACTAGCAGTGGGCATTACACCGCTTCTGTTAAAGTCACCAACCTCAACAGCATAGAACTGGACAAGGAGAATTCTGTGGTTGACCAGATGTGTGAAGTGGGTAAGCCAGAGCCACTGGATGAGGAGGAAGCAAGGGGTGCAACTGAAAATTATGACGATGAAGAAGTGTCCATGAGAGTTGAGGGAAATACACAGCCAAGTAAAGTTGTGAACAACAACAACATCAACAAAAATGTCAAAGCTACTGGACTTCTTGGAGGACAAAAGAGCAAAGCAGGTTACGAGCTCTACAACAAAGCGTCTGATCCTGACAAGGCTGCCAGTACAGCATTTGCTGAAAGTAGACATTCTGAGAGCAACAGTACTAATGGGACCCATGAAGCGGATAGGAACAAGGAATCCAGCAGCCAACAGGCATTTACACAAGCGTATTTGAGAACAAAATCTCCGTGTAGTGCAAAGTTTAAAGGAGCACGAAGGGAAGAGGCGCTTTTTGATGATTCTGAAGTGAAAGTTACCGAAGAGGACTTTTTCAATTCTCTTTCCCCTCCTACATCTCCTGTATCACTCCTCACTTGTCATTTTATAAGAAATTACAGAGTGGGTATATTTTCCCTGTGTATATATTAAACAGGCGCAGCCAACAGTGCCAAGTTGGCTACAGAATCAGTCTTTTAGCTTATCTTTCAAAGCTACTGGATAGGAGGGGCCTCTCTAGGTTTTTATACAATAGCGAGATTTGAAATACTGAAAAACCATGTTAATTTTTAGAATTCATTTTTCTTCAGAGACAAAAGTGATGTGTTCGTTCCTGGGAACAAACTTGTATAGATTCCGAATTTATTCAAAATGGAAGCATTTAAACCTTCCGCATTTATACCAATCTTCTGCATTTGCTTCTTAAAATAAAGTGCTTGGCATTTATAGGTCTGTGCTCTTTCACCTAAGAAGCAGAATCTCATTCAGTGCATTTAGCTTCATCGGTCATGAAGCCTGATCTCTGATGGGCTATGTCAGAGGCACAGAAACTAGAATGCGTGTATTAACTGTGTGGTATGTATTTCATGCCTTGAATCAGTTTGGAAAATGTCACAGAAAAACTAGCCGTTGCCCTTTATCTTCACAAGAATTTTATATATACTTATGAAGATGATGCTGTATCTAGTACATCTTTTTGGGCACAGACTAATTTGTATCTCTTCATACTCATATTCTGCACAATCTGTGTATATCAAACTTGAGAGGTATGACCTTAAATTTAACTTTTTTAAAAACTGGGAAGTCAGTAAAACTTAAATTGCATGTACAAATTTTTATTAAAGCAAAAGAAAACAGGAAAATGGAGGGGGACAGGTGAGACAAACAGAAACAATGGTAGTTACAAGAATAAACATACCAATTATTCAACTCTGTGCATCTATAAGATGCAATTTAAATATTTAAAAGAGAATTAAAAGAATATATACTATGCAAAGAATAATTACTCAAAAATCTGAGCCAGCACAGTGACACACAACTGTAATTCTTGCTCCTCAGGAAGATAAGGTAGAAGGATTCCAAGAGCAAGGCCAGCCTGGGCAACTTAGCAAGACCTTGTCTCAAAATAAAACCTTAATAAAAGGTATAGGGATGTACTACAGTGGTAAAGCATTCCTCAGTTTGATCTCTAGTACTAAAGAGGGAAAAAAAACTATTTAAAAAAAAGCCATGAGGGCTGATGATTTAGCTCAGTGATTCCACCCCCTGCCTCACAAGCACAAGGACCTGAGTTCAGTCCCCGGTACCAAATAAATAAATAAATAGGGACATTTTGTAATAAGAACATTAATTCACTAGGGAAACAAAACAACTATCAACATACATGAGTCTAACAACAAAGGACCTAAACATACAAGGCAAACACTGACAGAACTAACACAAGAAATACATGATTCCACTTTGAAGACCGGAGATCTTTACATACTCAGTAAATGACAGAACAACTGGATAAAAATCCATAAGTATAGAGAAAATAAGAAGATAAGGAAAACATTACAAGCCAACCTCATTGAATGTGTCCATTCCCTGCAGAAAGTTTTATTGGGTAGAGCTGCTCTAAAATCTGTACCAAAATACACCTGTCTTTTGAAATTATAAATTATTCTTCAGAGAGCTAAATTAAGATTATATGATCAGAAATTATGTCAAGTCATTTTCCCTTCCACTATTTTGCCCTGAAACTGTATTTAAACTTTAACTCTTATTATTTTATAGCATAGAATACATAATCAAAAATTGAGTACATTTTTACTGACACCAAATTGAAAAAAAACTAGTCATAGTAAACTTAAAACTTTCAAAAAATAAAGTATAAGTACAAGAATCATGTAAAACCACATTTTACTTTTTAACTTACTTATATATTTGGTAACTTGTTCTAATTTTCAGTCCACCTTTGATGAAGTTGATCATGTTTTCATCCTGAAAATAATTCAATATTTAGAGCACTTAGTAAAAAATTTAAACTGTTCTGACAGGTGCATATTTGTGTAATTAGAGAAGAAATATTTTGAGGACATAATTTTTAAATTATGCAAGATATATCATGTACACATACAAATTCCCTGTGATGAATGTTATTATGTATATCTAAAATGTATCAAATTTATTAGCACATTCTTCTTGCTTTATATTTGAAATGCCTTTTTCTTATTTTTCTTAAAAGTTAGAAGACAACAAAAAGAAAATATTTTTTAAATCACTGCATTATTTGTATTTCTGAGGAAGTAAGCCTTACTAATCAGGGTCCCAATAAAGTTCAAACCTACACATCATCACTTACTCGTCAATTTTCTTCTGGTTTCAACAGAATCTAAAGCAGTTAAGGACCCAAGGCCAAACTTTCTAGTTCACCATACCAAGTAAAAGGGACTATTTCACACGGTACTTGAGCCGGTGGTTTATTTAATATTGTGAATTTCATTCATATGCATTTCCAGATTAAAAAAATACCTGGTCTGAATACTAAGCTGAATACTACTTGAAATGGTTGTTACTAATAAGCAATTTTGTTTCAGTGGGGTTCAGGGTGGAAATCCCTACTTCTCTTTGCCTGATGGTCATGACTCAACTATAAAATTGAGGCAGCTGGTCTAGATGAATGGCATTTTCAGAATCAGCATTCTAATAGTCTCGTAATAAACTGTGTTAAACAACTACCTAAAGAAGGTCACCCTGAGAGTGCTAATGACACAGACCGGTGTGCCACACTTCAAGGACGTTTCTCTAGTCTATTAACATTGGAAAGAATCTTCTGTGTTTATTTCCTATGCACTTGAACATCCTTCCGAAGCAAAAGAAAAACTGAATTTAGTTTACTAGTTTTGTAGCTACTTAAATATTTGACATTCTGATTATTGCAAGAATCAGCAAATACTAAATTCAATAGTCAAATGTTTATCTTCTTAAGGAATCCCATAATTTCATAAGTTCCAACACTGGCCAGGAAAGAATTTCTTCAGAGCCAGGTGTGAGGGCGCACACCTGTAATCCCAGCACTTGAGAGCTAAGAGGATCTCTGCAAGTTCAAGGTCAGCCTGGGCTACGTAGTGAGTGTCAAGGCCAACCTGAACTACACGCAGTGAGGCCCTGTCTCAAAAAACAACAACAGAAACAGAATTTTTCAGTTAGACTATAATCTGACTCTAATAAGAGTATTTATTTCATGATTCACCAAACACTTTACTCTGAACGCCTATTCGATACCAGGCACCTTCACGTAAGAACAAACAAAAGCAATGCGGTGCTATGGGATGGAAGGAGGTGTGCAGAATGGCCAGAGACGTGTTCTGGAAGCACCCAAGCTAAAAGCACCAAGAAAATGACTAGAAGGAGCCAGTTTAAGGGAGGCAAAGCGGAGGTGAACACTGCAAGCAAGAACTCCGGTGGAAAGGCCGTCGTGCTGCGCCAGGCCTCCTGAGGAGAAGGGAGTGGCCAACAGGGCGGAAGGCCACCTCTATCTACCCTGGCGGCTCAACTACACCAAGGCCCCGGATGACACATAAGGGAGGGCACAGGGACTTGCTGGGAGGAGCCAGTTCAGTTCAAAACATCTTTCCCCTGTGATATTCTGACTCAGAACACCGCCATCAGTGATGCTCCCTGTGGAAGCGCCAAAGGACAAAGTCAGCCCCGCTTCTGAAAGGGTAGGCAGCTGCAGAATGAGGAATGAGTTGGGCGTAAAAATAAATCAGGGACAGAGTTGAGAGGCTGCTTACAGTCCAAGCAAGGCAAAAGCTGATAAGCAGCTCTACTAGAACAAGGGTCAGAAGAGACAGGAAGAGACGGTGCTGCAAAACTATTAACGATTAACGCAGCGTGAATATGAAATGACTGGATATGGGGGTATGATGAAGTGAGAAAAATCACAGTTATCTCTAATGTTTTCTTTCAAGTCACCAGATGTAAAGTAAGTTTTAAAATCTACTAATATTTGACTATCAAATCCCTACTTGGAAAACACATCCAAAAAACCTTGGGGCCTCTCTGACCAGCAGAATGATGTCCTCTACGCATTGACTGTTATTATCAATCAGCCTTTGTAACATACAAGGCCTTAGGGAGCACCACAGTGATAAACCAGAGTCCGATGTAAGACATCAATTTCTAGAAAAGAACAAAAACCACTCTCAAAACAATGTAGAAAGCTGACGTTAAAGTGTTCCCCATCTTCCAGCTGCAATCTTGACCCCAGCCCTACCACACGAGGCCACCACGAGAACATCATGCCTGCTCAGTACTGGAAGGTGCAGGCATAGGCAAGATAATGAGTACAACCATTCTCAGAGGTGAAATTAAAATGTCTTGTAAAAATAACCCACTGCTTTGTTCGGTGACTTTTTAAAACTCTTCTTCCAAAGGGAAAAATAAAACCTCGAAAGGAGAATGAATGAGAACAGAAAGTGGGAGAAAAATAAACCTGAAGGACATGTGAAAGTGTGCCTTGCTACACACGCATGACAGAGCTTTGTGCAGCCCGTGGTCCGAGAAAGGGACAACTGTGGGTGAGGAGCTCCCCGCCAGCCACTCCTGTGAGGGTCCTCACCCCTCCATGTGCAGCTGGAACCACCTCACAGTGGGGTCTGCACAGAGCAGCAGTGGCATTTGCAAGGCAACTTCTTTAGAAAGGATTCCCAGTAGACTGAAATTTTTGAAATAGACTATGCACTTGAATAGGAATAAAGGTCTCTTGAGTCCTTTACCAGAAAATGTTTATGAAAGCAACAAGCAGCTTCCACTACCACTCTTAAGTCTAAAGAACTACAGCACCAACATAGAAGGATGCAGTATCGCAGCGACACCGATTCTAGGGCAAACGTTCATTACCTGCACAAATGTGAGCGCTGCTTTCTGTAGGAGACACTCGGCGTAACAGATTTCGGCGTGCATTTCCTCTATTAAAAGCAAATAAAATTATATTAAGGAAAATGTGACATGCACAGTAATTGCTCTGAAATGTTCAGAAGACTAGTAGATAAACAAGCCCAAGAGAGACACAAAAACCTACACTGCTTTGGTGCTTCCCTAAAAGGGGAATGAAAACCTGTTCTTGGTCCTACAGCAGAATTTCTCTACAATGTGTGAAATGTTCAGGGACGTCCTCATTGGTCCCACTCAAATATAATCACAAAGTCAGATACACAAATTCAACTTTTAAGAGGAAACCAAAACTTAAAAGCCTTTCTAAAAAAAGAAAACCAAGCTGGGTGTCATGGTTCATGTCTATAATCCCAGCACTCAGGAGGCTGAGGCAGGAGAACTGCCATGAATTCAAGGTCAGCATCGTTTACATAGTGAGTTCAAGTCCAGCCTGAACTACATGGCAAGACCCTGTTGTCTCAAAAAAAGAAAAAAACCAACCAACCAACCAAAAAAGACCCAAAGAAAAAGACAGAACCACTTTTTAACAGTAATGTGAAATTTGTAAGTATAAAGACTGAAAATGACATTAAATTTATGAATTCTAGCTTCTAAACTATGAAGGTGTGGGAATCAGGATAATGCCCACACACCTCTATTCATCTGAAAGGAAAGCAGTAACTCTCTAGGGTTCTCTGAAAAGGCACTGCCCTACACACCCAAGTCAGGACTCCACAGGCAAAAGAAGACTTGACAGTCGGCACTACCCTGCTTCAGGTAACCTGATCATTCGGAGGTCTAGCACAAGTACAGGGTACTCAAAAAGGGGACATGAAGGCTACGCACAGCCCAAGACTATGTGAAGTGGCCGCAAACACAGGACCTGTCTTCCTAAACAATTCACTGTATGTGCAGAAAGCAAGGAGACAAACCTCTGCATCTTTGCATGAACAAAATCAGCAGATCCCCATTTTCTCCATGGGACGCAAGCCAGCTGAGAAAATGGGCCTGGAGGAAAGGCTCTACCGTGTCGGAGCTGCAGGGCCTGTACAAGCTACCTTCCCTCTCTCTGCCGGTTTCCTCCTTCATGAAGTCCACTAATAATGTCACTACTCTGCAGCTGAAGAATTAACTGAGGCACTGCAGGTACAATTTACCATACACAGTAAGCACTGGATAAATGTTAGCTACACAGGGGGCCAGGGAAGTATCTCAGTGGTGCCATGCCAGGCTGGCAAGTGCAAGGTCCTGAGTTCAATTCCTGGTACCGAAAAAAAATGTTAGGTATAAGGATCACTGCCCTCCCCATGTTAGTGCTTTCTGATCAAAGCTGACTGCAGAAAACTTTTATATCAAGTAACTGATGGAAAAAATGTATGTCTTTGTCACTGGAAATGTTGTTAATCACACTAGATAAGAACATGTTCTTTTTTTCATTTACACACACACAACCCACCGGCTCTAAGATATGGGTTCAACTTCTTGCCTTGCTCATATTCCAAATATTCTATTTACAAAGAAGCAATTATGCACCTAAGATCCCCTACAGCGGGCTGACAGTCAGGGCTAAACCCCGCCAGGCAGGACTTGAAGACGCACAGCCATCTGCACACAGGCACAGACCCAGCTCTCCGAACCTCCCCTCAGAGCGTGTCTTTTGCTTTTCTCATTGACTTCTGTGGGGTACAAACCAGGGCTTTTTATTTTTACTGAGTCACCGGAATATCCTCTTCCGAGGTAACTCTGTAACAAGGTGAGCACTCTGCAAATCGGCCTAGGAACAGACTGCTGACGTGGGAAACACAGGAGATGACATCAGGGCCAGTCGAGGCCAGCAGGAGCCAAAGCGAGGAGCAAGGAAAACCCAGGGCTCCTTGGAAAAGGGCGGCGGGCGTGCCTGGCTGGGAGAGGGCAACGAGGCTGGCGAGGTCAGCTGGAGCTAAATCACAAACGTCCCTGAATATCACCCTGGGCTGAGATCTGCACAGAGGGCGAAGAAGTCAGGGTTAGCTAGGAACATATGAAGGCAGCACAGAGGATATGACAAGAAAGCAGAGGTAACAGGTGGGAGCTCTGCACTCTGAGTGTTTGTATTCTTCATGTTCAATCCCTCTCACCTCCTAGCCATTGCATTTAAATACCTCTTTTTAAACTCAACTTCAAACCTAGTCAGTGTGATCCACCTGCCTGGAGAGAAGGGCAGGTGTATCCCATGTTAACTCATGCAGTTTAATGAAATACACTTGACTCCAGACAAGCAAAGCTGGAGGATGTAAGTGAAGATGACTAAGAGGAAAACAAATCACATACTAAAGCTACAAAGTTTTGACAAGCTCCCGTGAACACCAAGTCTGTCGGGGTTACAGTAACAGCCAAACTGGGAATGAATGTAACTTAATTTATAAAAGTCTTAAATTTCTTTGTGATTGATTTATATTGGGCACTTTCTTAGCTCTCAAAATTAGTCAATGCGTATTTATGAATAGAATGTCTCTTTTTTTAATACGTTTGTAGTACGTAGTTATTACATTTATCGTGGGAGTTGGACCATGTACACAGTAGTCCTCTGAAGGAAATAATTCACGATGCACTGAAATGTTAACCAAGTACAGCCTTTAGGTATAAAGTCCAAATAAACATCTACATTTAATTAATAAAGAGCAATTTTTTTACTTTATTTCAGATTTCCTAAAGTGTGCTGTCCAAAGACATTAGCAGGTAACAGATTACATAGTATCACTTATTTTCAAGATTTCTAACATAGGAATAATTCAATATCTCCCTCATACACAAGCAACATACTCTGTACCTGCCTGCAGGAGAAAGAGCGGGCTCTGTGGAAAGACTTGTGGTTTAGGAAAAGGCAGACCGCCTGCTCTGATATACAGGTGGCCGTGGCCACTTAACACCCTCCCTCGCAACACCAGATCGTGGTCTACAAAGATCAGGTTACACAGATCAGACCGGGTAATGCTACAGAAACACCAAGAAAAATTTGTGGGTTTTCGTTGTTTTGTTTTCGCTTTGCATGCTGGTGGTTTAATGGAACAACGCTAATAAAGGAATCTGTCCGAGAGTAGGGAAAACAGGACTAGGCGAGGGAGAGCTGAGAGATTCTGTTAAATTTTTGGCAAAGATTAAACATTATTAAAAATTCATAAAAATAAAACCATTTACAATTCTGGTGTTTGAGATTTAGCTGCCAACACGAAAATTCAGTCCCATACTTCATATACGTTGGACACACTTTTTGCTCTGTCTAGTTTTTAGCATTTTGATTACGATGTGTCTTTGCATTTATCCCTTTCAGGTTTTGCTGAGCTTCTTCCATCTGTATGGTCTGGGGTCATTCAACACATTTGGGGGTTTTCAGGTATTATCTCCCCAAATACTTTTCAGCTTCTGTGCAGTTGGTGCTCCGCTGATGTGAACGTGAGAGCCTTTGTGTCCCAAGTCCCTGATGCTGTGTTCATTTTTGCAACCTCTTCCCTCTCTGATGTCCAAACTGGGTAATACATGCTGATCTTCCTCTAATCTACATTGTTATTGAATATATCCACTGAGCTTTTTTTAAAATCTTGGATATTATATTTCTCGGTTCTAAACCTTCCTTTTGATTTTTTTTTAAATCTTCTATTGTCTAAATTTTCTAGTTTTCCATTTGTTCCAAGAGTGTGTTCATAATTGCTTGTGGAATAATAGTTGCTTTAAAATCTGTCAGATAATCTGATTTATGTCATTTGGGTGTTAGTATCCACTGATTAATTTTCTATTCAAGTTGAAATGTTCTTTGTGGCTTTTCCAAATAATTTGGATTGTACCTTATAAATTATGTGTTATGAGGTTGTAGTTCCTGTTTAGTTTTTCCCACTTTATAAGTGCATACTGCTTATACAAATTAATGGGTTTCATTCTAGCAGATTTGTACATTCATATAATATACTTTAATCACCCTCCAGTAACCCCCTGCCTGCCCTAACCTACTCCTTAGTTTTACATTTTTGGGAGGAGGTTTCAATACGTATGGATTTTGATCATTTTTTAAATTATATCTTTTTTAAAAGGAGGCATTATTGTTATTACTGTTTTGAAATTATTATTATTTACATTCACACCAAAAATACCATGTCATTCTTCCTAAAACTAAGGTTAAAAAAAAATCACCAATGTCACTTTCATACTACGAAGAGAAAGGGAGGCAGGATCACTGGGCCGGGGGAGAAGCCATGCACAGAGCCACAAAGGAGCCTATACGTGGAAGAGTCTGATTTCTTTGGAGCCTACTTAACGTCCCACTAACCCTCCCCGGAGGACTTCAGTCCTTCCTACTGGTGCCAATTTTCATTTTTTCCCCCTCACCAAAAAACGAATGTACTGACACTATAACAACATTTGAGGGAGGCACATCTCATGCACGTGGCATAAACACACCACCGTCGCACTCAGGACCTGAAGGACCAACTTTTATTCCTATAGCACATGGAGGTTAGTTTCTGGAGAGAAAGAAGATGGGTTTCAGCTGCCTGGAGTGACCAACGAAATATCGTTTAGTTCTGTCATGGTTTGGAAGTCAACACTGTACCCTTCTAGAACAAGCCCTGAAGATGTGAAATGCGTCCTAATCCTCTCTGTAATCAATACTCTAGGCTCGCAGCATGCAAAGGGTCCCAAGTTCTCTAATTTCCGTAACAAGCTGATAGCAACTGCCTAACAAAATAAACAAAACTTTGTAATAAAACATAAACATGTGTCCCATTTTTCCTTGACCATTAAGAATAACTCGGACAGCAATTTCCAGAATTGTTCTTGCTCTGCTTAACCAGACCTACTCCTAGTGGTTTTGTTTCTTCCAGAGAACAAGATGGACGATGAAAACATAGGCACAAATTCTTCTAGTATGGTAGAGACTTTTGAAGGACATAGTTTTTTCTTCTATAGGATAACCTGGATGCTCCTTCTGGTAAACCTTTCTTACTGGAGTGCAACATTAATAAAATAGGGCTTATCTTGAAACTTTTACTGTAATCTCTATAGGCCTTCTTCAGGGTCTCATTTTCTTAAATGTCCACAAACCAAACACCTTCCATTCTGTTAAGCATTTTCACTTTTTAAAAGGTATCACAGTCACTTTTATTTTGGGAAACATTTTTAACAGACTGTAGAAAACTGAAATTCTCATAGAAGGATGGTAAGAATATAAGATGGATTAAGTTTTTATGGAAAAAACAGCAATATTTATAAATGTTTAAATTTTCAAACCATCCATCCTAGTAGTTCTACTTTTGGAACACTATCCTATGGAATATTTGAAAAATACATGAAAACATAGGTATAAGAATTTCAGGACAGCATTATTTGTAACAGTGAAAAAATAAAAACTATATAACAATCTTCTAATATAGAAAAAGCAAGTAAGTGAGGAAATATCCATCCTCTGTAATACTACTACACAGCTGTGAAAACATCACACAGGGCCGTTACATGAACTGACCAGGGAAAACACCACACTGTGGAGCATGCACGGAAAGTGAACAACACAAGAACAATAACACAAACCCTGTGTGTTCCCCAGATGTACTTTTGTATGTGTTCACTGAGAAGCTCACAAAGCTTCAAAATCAACCACTGGTGATGGTTACTTCTGGGGATGAGTGTGACAGGGAAGAGAAAAAGACATTCCATTTCCCTTCTACACTTCAGTACTGAACTTTATGAACAAAGGCACTCTGATTTGTTTAAAGAAAAGAAACATTCATCATGAAAATGATGCTTACCTTCACTCAGCTGTTCTAGTGATCCTCGAGAAAGGAGACTTGAGAAAGATTCTACAACTGTGCATTTTTTCCTATATCTGCATTGAACAGACAGAAGGGAAGATGGGAAACAAAAAGAAAAAATACCAACAAATCAGACTGAGCCCATTTTCATCTGGCGTTTATTTCAGTCATAATCGCACCAAAGAGTCACTAGTAGAACTTTAAACCCTGAAGTCTTCAGGGCAGAAGCTACCTTCTTCCAGCAGTGCACAAGTGGCTCTTGGCACTGAGCACACTCAATCCGTGTCACTACACACATGTATGGACACACACGCACGCACCTGTGAGTATTAAACCTGCGGGGCACCCTCCCTTACCTATATGGCTAAAACCGTTATTTTTCTGGTGAAAAGTATCCACCAGTTAAAATTTGGAATTAAAGCACACTATTTAGAAATGCTCTTCATTTTAATGACTTACAACATAACTGCCTAAGGACTAATTTTATCCACGTTAATATTCACCAATACCAGTAATATCTTATACTAGGGCTTTCCTATGCACACAGTAAAGCTTAAAATAAAACTAAAAAAACTACCTCATTTTCACCAATCAAAACTGTCCAAATATGACCATCTTAGGTGAATAAAACATTCTCTTCTGCATCTACAGCATCTCCCAAATAAAACAAGGATGTTCCTTGCTTGATGTGGCATGGCACGCAGTACTGTTAACCTCATCTACCTGAGAAGCACCTCAAGAGATGCCTACAGCTAACCCCACTGAAGTCTTCCTCAGACTTTCTCTATAGCCCAGGTCCTGAGCTACGAAAAAGGAAGTGAAAAGGTCAGGGGTGGTGGTGAATGCCTGTAATCCCAGCACTCCAGGAGGCTAAGGTAGGAGGATTACAAATCGGAGTCCTGTCTGGGCAATTTAGCAAGATCCTATCTCAAAAATTTTAAAAGAGCTGGAGATACAGCTCAGTGTGAAGGTCCTGGACTCAATCCTCAGTACCAAAAAGAAATACATTCAGCTATACTGTGCCTGCCTCAGAAGAGCAAGGTCCTCAATCCCCAGTACAAAAAAAAAAAAGAAATACAGTTGCCAAATGGGAACCAAACTATAATTCCTGTTAAGAATTTTTTAAACTATATTATATGAAACCACACGGGGCCAGTCCTTTTCTACAGCTCTGTCCAAACTCGACCACAGAGCTCTCAGTCAGGCAAACAACACCCACTCTGTTACACAGGCACAAGGGCTTGGAGTCTTATCTTGAATACTGAATCCCCTGGTCGTACTTCTGGCAGGTTTGCAAGGCGTCCTTCATGGCAGAAATGCCATTCTGAATGTCCTGCTGTTCAAAGGTCATGACGGCCTGCAGCACCACAATGGTACTGTAGCCCAAAGCGTGGTACATGCTCTCCTTGGCCCTGGGAAGAACACAGGAAATTAGTTCAACTCAACAGGAAAAAAGAAACATTCCACGTTTTGTCAAGACACCAATCATAGGAAATCCTAGTAAATGCCTGCTCTGACTTTCACAGAAGCAGACTTTACTCCTTTACCACAATCACTGAAATGACACGGACTGAGAAAGGCATGCTCTTATGCACGCAGGAAGCACGGAAACCCACATGGGCTTACAAAATATTCAGGATGAACCCGAAGTAGACAGCACGCTTTTCCCTGTTTCGGCACAAGGGGGCAGTCTGCAGGCTCATTTCCTAAGTGGTTTCAAAGCAAACCAGATTTTGCCCAGTTGAACAAGAGGCAATGCATTATCTTAAAATCTGAAGTAAAATAAAATTAAGGCCAGTGGAAATGTATTTAGTGGCAGATTCTGACATGTTCTCTGAAGTAAAAGGGATCATTGAAAGGCATGCCCTCTCTTTTCCAGCCAAGGGCCAAGAGGAAGTGAGATTTTTGCAATTAGATGGGCCAGAGGACCAAGCAGACACCTGAAACTTGCATCTGGTCTAACTGCATTATCAGAGACTACTGATCAAAGTTCTTGAGAATTCAAATTATCAAGTTATCAGTGAGAACAGCTTCAGGAATCTAAGGCTATTCATTCTAATATACAGCAGATCCCCAGGCTGTGAAAGCACAACCACATCATCTCACACTTTTCACGTTATCTGTGCTTAAATATCAACGCTCAGCACTGGGGGTGTGGCTTGCTCAGTGCTCAAGAGACGCAGGCTTCAATCCCTAGGACTGACAAAACTACCGTGTGGTCTGGGGTTTTGACTTAACTACTAATGTACAACAGCCTGCAGCAGTGTAACGCAAACACACGCCTCACGGAACAGTCCCCGTACAGCTGGGTGAGACAGGCAGTGTCACAGAAGTCTGGGCCCCGCGATTCACAAGAAGCACAGGGAAAAAGCTGCCTGAAGTTAATCACTAACTGTGGTTCCCAACTTCATATTCTCAACTGAAAATTCTTGCAAGAGGATAAAAGGGATTCAATTGGGAAAAAAGTATTTTTAATAGTGCCTCGAGCGTACATAAGAAGAGAATATAACTTGACTGAGCACAGAACTACATGTTTTCCATTCTATATCGGCACCAGATGCCTATCAGTGAAAGAGAAAAGGAGACTTGAGTAAAAAGAAAGGAAGAACATTGAGAGGCAAAACTGGAAAAGGGACAGCAGAAGAAAGGGAAGGACAAGGAAATGGAGAAGACACCAGGGAGGTACGGGCCGAAAGAGTCAGCCGTGTGACGGAGGCGGAGCGGAAAGGGGCCAGACAGCGCTGGACGGCATCCCTCAGCTACGGCCTTATCACCTCTCAACCTCTGAAATGCTGCCTGACCGATCAGTCACCGCCACTGACTCTGACAAGCTCCTCAGCCGGCAGTCAGGTTGCCCTGCTGCACACAAAGTAGAGGATTCCCCACCTAGCTGCCCAAGGAATTGTCTAGAAAATTAGGGTAAGAGTTCTAAGCTTCGCCCACGAAAGTCACTGTGTTTGAAGGCACAAAATGAGATTTCTGTCAAGCTAGAGTCACATGCTGCAGAGTTGGTGACTGTGGTCAAAGTGAGCATACTAAACAGGCTGAGTTTGTTTGTGTGATGTGTGTTTTGATTTTTTAGTTTTTGAGACAGGGTCTCACTATGTTGTTCAGGCTGGCCTTGAACTCACTATGTAGCCCAGTGTGTCCTGGAACTCACTAGGATCCTCCTGCCTCAGCCTCCACACTGCTGGGACTACACGTGTAAGCCACCACACCTGGCTGGCTGAGGCGAGGTTCTGTTGACCAATTTGAAAAATTAACAGTTACTACCATCAATTGACATTAAACTGCTATTCACTGAAATTAAACTGCTTAGCTTATTTATCACATAAACAGGGGATCTCAAAATTATCTTAATTCTTTTTAGTATTGGGATAAGCATTTTCTAGTTCTTCCTGTCACTTCAAGGGAAACTTTTTCCAGTGATATTCAAAAACATTTCATCGGAGAAAATAAAACTGACCTACAAGACAACACACGACCATATCGGAACAGGTTTCTACTTGTTAAATTTGAAATAGCAGATTTCATTTTTTTCTAGTTCATGTTCTTTCTCTATTGGTATACGTTTGGGATGCATAATAATTACATAATTTAAGTGAAATAAACCAGACACACAAACTTAAATATCACATGGTGTCTCTTACACGAGAAACACAAATTATAAGTAAAAGGCAAAATAAAAGATGAAAGGAAGTAGGGAGATCTTTTTGAAACAGAAAGCAGAGCAAGAGATGAGGTGGGGAAAGGATTGAAAAAAGAACCGGGAAAAATGGAGACGGAGCTTTTATAAATGGGCAGGAACAGGGAGAGAAAGGTGTGTCAGGAGCAAAGGAAGAGTTGAGACGTGTGAGGCCCATGCGCCGACTCGTCAGAGTAAATGAGTGCTGCAGGCTCTTACGAAAGAAACACGGTTACGTCCACGGTGGGAGGGGCGCATGCGTGTACTGCGCGCTAACCTCTGCCTCCCCTCTCCCTCCTCACCCGCCCCTTCTGCGGCCTCCCTTCCCATCGCCACAAGGCCATCTCTCTGCTTCCGTCACCCCATCCCTGTTATTTCCTGTATATATATTTGGGGTTTCTCACGTAAGAAAAATCATGTTATGTTTAGCCTTCTGTACCTCATTTACTTTGCCCAGTGTCATGGTCTCAAGACCCACGCATTTTCCTATGGAAATCAGTGTACAGATTCCACAAAAAAACTATAAATAGAAAATCTATTTGAACCAGCTATACCTTTTCTAGGTTGTTTTCTCCAAAGAATCAAAGACTTCTTTTCACAGTGATACAGGCACACCTATGTATATACATACTAGGAAAAGTTATGTTAGCTAAATTATGGAAGCATCCAACATGTCCATCAAAAGACAAATGGAAAGAAAGTGTGGACTATACACACAATGGAGTACTACTCAGCCATAAAGAATACATCTGAATCATTTGTAGGAAAATGGATGGACCTTGAAATGACATTCCTTCACTGATTTGAAAGCTGACCAACAGTGAGACACACCCATGTTAGCTGATAAATATTCAAGAAGAAACAAGTAAGTTAACTCACAAGCATGACACCAAATAGTTTCCAGATAGTTATCTGGAAAAAAACTTTTATCTAAAAGAAATAATTACCATGGACGAAGCAATTCTAAGGCATCTGTGAATTTGTTACTGAGAAATAAGTTCAGGGCCACTGCACATTCTTCTAGACCACTCTTGAGATCCACCTTGGCTGATGATGCACTAAAGATCAAGGAAAAACACAAAGAATTGTTATAACTTTCACTACTGGCACGCTGTCCAAGGGAGGATGCATGTGGACTCTGGAGAAGGAAGGTTGTACATCGGGCTTTGCCACTCACTGAGGGAGGAGCAAAGGTAAGTTCCCCACGCCGCCCCGTGGCGGTTGGATAATCTCTGCCTATAAAAGTCAACCGTGAAACGCAGACGCAGAACGTTCTGTACCATGGCGGGCACTGGCTTGGTGGCCAGAGAGGCGGTAGTGGGTGCGCTTCTGTACTATGAGCAAGGCTATAAGGCGCCAGGAGTGCGGGAAGCAGCTGCGGCGCTGGTAGAGGAGGAAACTCGCAGATACCGACCTACGAAGAAGTACCTGAGCTACTTAACAGCCCCAGATTATTCTGCTTTCCAAGGATTGAACTCGGGTCCTTGTACTTGTGAGGCAGTCGGTGGAACCACTGAGCTAAATCCCATTTGTTGATATCCTGGGAATAATTCTCTGATTTATGTATCAGACTGACAATGAGAAATGTGCTAAATCCCATTTGTTGATATCCTGGGAATAATTCTCTGATTTATGTATCAGACTGACATAATGAGAAATGAATTTGAAAGACTGGCTGCTCGACAACCAATTGAATTGCTCAGTATGAAACGATATGAGCTTCCAGCCCCTTCCTCAGGTCAGAAAAATGACATCACTGCATGGCAAGAATGTGTCAACAACTCTACGGCCCAGTTAGAGCACCAAGCGGTTCGAGTTGAGAATCTGGAGCTAATGTCACAGCACGGATGTAATGCCTGGAAAGTATATAACGAAAATCTAGTTCACATGATTGAACGTGCACAGAAAGAGCTTCAGAAGTTAAGGAAACATATTCAAGATTTAAACTGGCAGCGCAAGAACATGCAACTCACAGCTGGATCTAAATTGAGAGAAATGGAGTCAAATTGGGTGTCACTGGTCAGTAAGAATTATGAGATTGAACAGACTACTGTACAACTAGAAAATGAAATCTATCAAATTAAACAGCAACAGGGAGAGACAAACAAAGAAAACATCCGGCAAGACTTCTGAGAAGACTAACATGCTGAGTAAAAAGGAAGAAAAGTCGGGCCCTCTCAGAAACCATTAGTGGGTAAATGTTTGGAAACCATAATGTATGGATTCTTGTAATAATTGTTTTGTGTATCTTTGTGAAATAAAGGTTATCATCGTGGCATTTTTATACCTTAAAAAAAAAAAAAGTCAACCGTGAAAGCCAGGAGTGGTGGCACAAGCCTATAATCCCAGCAAGTCTGGAGGCTGAGGAGGTAGTTCAAGGCCAGCAAGCACGATTAGTGAGACTGTCTCAAAATAAAATGTAAGAAGGACCAAGGGTATAAGTGATTGCGTGCCCCTGGGTTCAATCCCCAGTACCTTAAAAAAAAACTTTAAAAAGCACGCCGTCTCTTGGATTCATCCTGATCCATTCCCACCTCTCGCGCAGACCAGATTCTCCTACTGCCCAGCAAATCTTTCCCTAGAGTTCATTCAACTAATTCTGATAGACCACATGTCAGGTAGCCCTCCAGGTGCCGGCCATACAGCAACAAACAAGCTGCACTTCTCCCGGGCTCGCAAGAAAAGGAGCAGACTTACACAACAGGTCAGGGACTAAGATCTCTCCGACCAGGCGGAGAAGTCGGAGACAGAACCTGCCTGGTCTGGGGAGCAGCGGCGAGGCATGAACAGAAGACCCCATGACTGAGGACAGTCGGAAAGCTTTCTCGGGAGATGTGAGCGCTGTCCATGGAGCGCTGTCCATGGAGTCCGCCATGGGAATTTCTAGGTTGGAGCAGAGGGGGTTCCAGTTAGAAAGGGGTGAGCACAGCAGAGAGTGGGAGAAAATATGGGGTGAGAACAGGCAAAGCCATGAAGGTGGAGAGGATGGGTTTGTCCTGAGGACAGGAGCAAGTACTGCACATCGCCCCGGAAGTCTCCACTCCCTTTTTAGCCACTTCCCTCAGGGTTTTCAGCCTCACCTCTCAGCTAATCTATATCTTCACTCCCACCATCTCTCCCTACGGTTGTCACCACGAAATGGGCTACGAGCGGATATGAGCACCCTTGCCAGCCGCACACCACCCCTGCACCTCCGCTGGCCGCACCATCATCTGGGGGACACATCTCTCCAGTCCCATCTCAGAGGCCTCCCTCCAACATGGCAGCCTCAGCCTTCTAAGTGGGTCACTAAGAAGCAGCCGCCTCCACACCCTTAATCTTGGGCAGGACTTCTCTCAGACACCTCTCAGAGACCCCTGTTCCTCTCCATTTCCACCATCCTTGCTTGTATTAATGTGATTCATGCCATGTCTGAATTCTGAGCACTCACCCCCCAAGAAGGTTTTCTTTCAGTCCTACTGCTCGGCCTCCATGGTTCTTCAATTCGGGTACAGCAGACTGCCAGGCTCGCCCTCAAAGCATCGGACTCAGGCCTGAAGTGGGCCCAGGTCAAAGGATGGTACTGATTCTGCTTTATTTCATCCTGGAGACTGGAAGCACCGAACAAGGACACATATGTTCGTGACACTGCGTCCTTTTGTGAACATCTGCCGGGTAAGTACAAACCGCTCAGCCCGGCTTCCAGGCCTAGAAATCTGTCCAACCAGCCTGTCCTGGAGTGATGAAGAAAGATATTTAAAACTGCAAGAGACTCACGGACACGGCACTCCCTCGAGCCTCAAGTGATGCGTGAAAGGATCCTGGATTGGAAGTCTGAAGTCAGCACTGCCTTTCTCCAGAGTCCTCAACTCCCTGGGTTCCTTGCCTTGTCTTTGAAATGCTCAAATGCTCTCCCATTTGACAACTTGTACAAGAGAAACAAAGGCAATGACTGCTAAGAGCACGCTGTGCAAACGTTCTTCTACTACGCAATGTAAGAACCATGCCAGTCTTCCAAGAGCCATGGACACAGCCCACACACTCACGTTCCAGGCCCAGTGCCTTTCTTAACACCCATCCTCAGTAAAGCGAGACTCTCCATTTCCAATGTAGAAGACACATTAATGTAAGGCAGATTTTAGTCTTATTTGAAAAGGAGAACAAAAGCAGCTGGGCACGATGGTGCACACCTATAATCCCAGCACTCTGGGAGGCCAAGAAGAATTGCAGTTTGAACCCAACCTGAGCAACTTAGTCACTTAGTGAGACCCTGTCTCAAATTAAAAAAAAAAAAAAGTTAAGAGGTTGGGGCTACAGCTCAGTAGGAAAGCCTTGAGCATGATACCCTGTACCCAAACCCTGCACACACAAAATAAACCTATCCACCACATAAAAATGTGGCCCTATGGGACAATGCTACTCTTACATTCCAATTCCACTTCTTCTCTTACTAACAACTGAAGCTTGACTGAAAGACACGCTACATTTACCTTAGTGGATAGTAAGGATCTGGGCTCTACCCACTTCCTGACTTCACCCTAAGCAAACATGGCCACAGCAAGTCATTTTTCTTCCTAGTACTCGGTTTTCTTATCTGTAAGTAGATCTAGCAAAAGTGGCCACATCGTGGGCTGTACTGTCAACACACAAATGCATTTAGTGTCCGAGATACAAAGCTTCCAGTAATGCTATTTACTGCCACCATTTTGTAAATGTTCTAAATAGCTTTCCATAATTTAGTGCTGTTGGGTATGTAACAATTAAAGGAATTTAATGAACTGGTCATTTACCTAATCAATTAGTATACTTCTAGACAAGTCAGCAGTGTTCACTGTGGGGACAGAATAAATGTCAAGATAGAAGAGAGAATGAATAAAAATAAGCACAGAAAATCTGAAGCAGTATTTTCTAAAGAGTTGTTCTTATGAAAACCTCCAACGGAAGTAGAAAACTTAGTCATCCACCACATATTATGTTCCCCATCAAAGAGTCAACATTTCAGAATTTTTTTTTTTTTTTTGAAAATTTGACAATGAAAATGTGGATGGAGGATAATCATGGACCGGGGAAGCAGAGAGCAGACAAGGATGCTGGGTTCTCCACTCAGCACGTCCAGAGAAACTCAGGGCCATGGCTGTGTCTCGATGTCCCTCAGGGTGACATGAGGCAGTCATAGGTGGGGCTTTTTCAGAGGCGGCTGGATCCAGAGTGTGTGACCGATTCATGGTGCGATGCTGGGTGCTAGGATTAAGGGTGGGCAATTACTAAATCAGTCCACTGATTGGTTTGTCCCCACTCTAGTGCCAGTAGATAACCACCCCTCAACCTTGCTCTGTGTCCAGACACACAGCTTTCCTGCCATAGTCTGGAACTACGATGTCCCCCCAAGGCCCACGTGTTAAAAGCCTGGTCTCTCAGGAGGCACTACCAGGAGATGGTGGAATCTCTGAGAGCAGGGCCAAAGGGAGGTCTGTGGTGAGGCGGAATGTGCCTGGACTCCTTGGCTGCGAAGTGGTTTTGCTCTGCCAGGTACGCCCCTGTGCTGTGCTGCCTCACCACAGGACCAAAAGTAAGGGAGCCAAGTGAGCACAGACTGCATCCTCAAAAACTGTGCGTTACCTGCTCTTTTTATAAGTTGATTACCTCGAGAATTTGTTATAGTAACAAAAAACTGACAAATGTATTCTCTCCCCCTTCTCTTTCCAGACAAAAGCTTCAAAGAGAGTTGTAGTCTTTAGCCATCACAGCCAAGCTCCTGCTCCAACTTCCTTGATTCCCTCCAAGCCCAAAATCTCTGATCCACCAACTACCATAGAAAATGCAAAGGATAGCCAGGTGTGGCAGGGTATGCCTTTAATCACAGCTGCTTGGAAGGCTGACGCAGCATGATCACAAGTTCAAGACCAGGCTGGGCAACTGAGATAACTAACTACTCTATCTCAAAGGAGTTGGGAGGCTGGGGATGTAGCTCAATGGTACACCACTTGCCTGGCTCACCCAAGGCCTTCAGTTCAATCCCCAGTACCACTTTAAAAAAGAAAATAAAAATGCAGAGGATCCCATCAGCCTGTATCCCAGCAGATTCTGTGGTAGCACCTGGCTCTGTGACCAGATTCCAGAGCTCTTACGTCTCCCAGATCCCCGGCCTGCCCCGTGCCACTATCTCAGTCTGCCCCTCGTATGTCTCTGCAGCTCTTCTTAAACCCTCATTCCTTCTATAACCCTTCACTGTCTGCATTCCCAAAGGTTCCTTCCTCTGTCCGTTACCTCTGTTCACCTTAGAAACAGCATTTGAAGCTCCCAACTTCCACAACTACATACCTGCCACAGAGGCCCAGTCTACACACCCAGCTCAGCACTTCCTCTGAATGTTTTCAGTCATTTTTATTTATTGCCATTTCCACAGTCAGCACTCTAAAGGTTGATGCAGCAGTCACCGTAGCAAACTATTGAATTCGAGGATAACAATGAAACATTTCTTTAAAAAGAAAAAAAGATTCCCCTGAGGAGGGACATATGGAGTAAAAAAGTATTATGGAAAATGAAAATAAATGCCTTAAGATCGTTAGAAGTTATCTTCAATTTCATTTGTATTCCTCAACACTGTCCATATATTTAGACAAATTGTCAGATTCGGGAATATAGTGAAATTTCAAATGCAAAATCCAAACTGCTACAGATCTGCTGTATAATTTTTAAAAGTTTAATAAATCTGTAAAGAGGAATGGAAGTCACTTTCTCACGGCACTAAACAGCTTTAACAGAGTTGCCTTAGTAACTCAGAGCAATTTATATGTTCGAGGAAGAACTTTTAAAATTAATTCAAGAATGGGCTGGAAAGGAACAGTAATTAACAAATATATTGTAAAATATATCTAATGGAAAGGAGACATGTCACGGTAACTGGGTTTGAAAAAGAGATTACTGGCCAGGAATGTGGCTCAGGGGCACCTCACCTGCCTGGAGAGGGCAAGGTCCTGAATTCGATCCCAGGTACCACAAAAAAAACCAGATTAGTAAATAGTGTATTTAGTACAACTCTAACTAAGAAAATAATTAGTAGCTGTACATGTGGGGGAAAAGAGAGCTAGTCTGGGCCATGTTTGCACGCTGCTCTCCTCCCCGGGAGGGCACGTGGTAGGCTCTGCTGCAGCGGACTGAGCCGCGCCCTCACTCCCTTCTGCAAGCTCCCTAAAGCTTCGGAATGTTCTCAACCGACACAGTCCTCAAAGTGCATTTTTAAATCGAAGGCGTGAAAAATGTAAGAAAGAAAAATAATTCTAACATAACATTCAGTAAACATTCCAGTACATTAAGACTGGATCACGAGTGAAACAGGAAGAAAAGGGCTAAAGGTGTAGGGAAAGTGGGAAGGGTGGGGGAAAGGTAATAAAGGAGAGGAAAAAAATATGAGAAACTGAAAACATGGAAATAAAGTGTTTGTAAATGGGGAGGGGAGGAGGGGGTGAAGGGAGGGCAGGGACAAGGGAAAGAATGAGAATCAAGACCTGTCATGTAAAGGTACAGGATCCCAATAATGAATGTAACTGCACTGTATAAATGGATTGTTCCAATAAACTCAATAAAAAGAAAAAGAAAACGACTGGATCAAGAAGGCTGTGCCTACGGAAACACTGGGGGACACATGAAACGTCTAACTTACAATTATGACCACAGTTTCCCTTTCCTCCATCTTCTCTAACGTTTGGCATTGTGGTCCTATTATTTTATGATAATAATCATTTCAAATGCTTAAAAATAAAAAAAGACTCGAACGAAAGCGGGGTCCGGACCGCTGACTGCACTCTGCCCCCCAGCGGCCCCTCCATGGCTGCAACCACCCAGGACCAGGACCTCCCAGCTCCAGCCGGGAAGCACCTTGGGCGTGGCCACAGCTTTCCCCGGGGGTGGGGTGCTCCCCCAGGGCTCCCTCCTCACCTGCTCACATCGGGTCCTCTGCCCTGTCTGGGTGCCCGCTTGGGATCATAAGATGAAAAGTGAAAGTTGCTTGTTGCCATATCTGAGTGAGAAGATCTGTCAATTAAAAAAGCAAAGTGAGGGTTTTGTCTCTTGTTCTGCAGTACTAGGATCTGAATCCTTCATACTGAGCAACCCAAGACTTTTTTTGGAGACAGGGTTTCTCACAAGGTTGCCCAGGCGGGCCTCAAAGTTGGAATCCTCCTGCCTCACCCTCCCGAATATAGGATTACATGTATGTGTCACAGTGCCTGGCTACTTGGTCCTGTGAGGAAAGTCTGCATAAATACAGGTACCCTGTAAAGCAGACCTCACCTTTCTTTCCTTCACTTTTTTTGTACATCTCAAGTTCATCTCTTATCAATTTTGAAAATCAAGAAACACAAATATGTACTGAATATTCCTCAAGTATATCCAGTAAAATATTTATTTTTCTTTGTATTCTTACAAACTATAAACTGAAATCTCCCTACCGCTTCCCATCCAAACAATGTAACTTGTAGTATCCTTCTAGATTTTTCCCGAGTAAACCTATACATCTTTTACTGAAACTTTATGGAAGATATTTATATTTTATTAAAATGGACAATTATATACTGCAACTGTCCTAAATCTTTTCTTCTCAAAACACAGCAGCACGATAACCTGCTGCACAGAAATGCCACAGTGTGTCGCCTCCCCTCGCCCCAGGCAGGTCGGCAGCACTCACAGGCTCACCACTAGGCCCTGCCGTGATAAGCCCTGGGACCTACTTGCCTAATTACTTCCCAGACAGAATTCCCTTAAGGAACAGCATGTAATATATACAATATTTTCTTTTTAATAAGCAGCTAAATTTCCCATTTTATATACCTCGCAGACAACAAAAGGAACATAGAGAAGGCATAGGCCAATCTGGATTGCAGAATCTCAGGCCACTTTGACCTAGAAACCTACAAACACACCAACAGGGCAGGTTCTCCCTGGAGGAAACTTCCTAGAAAGAGTTAAGAGTAAGCCTACCCTGAGCCACACGTGGTGAAGCACGCCTCCGATCCCAGCACTCAGGAGGCTGAGGCAGGAGGATCACCAGGAGTTCAAGGCCAGCCTGAACTATGTAGGGAGACCCTGTCTCAAAAGACCAAAGAATACAAGGCCAGTCTCCTTCAGCTTCCCTTCACTTTACAGTACACAACCCATAAAGAGGGTGACGACGACCCGTCCCTTTGGGGAAGCTTTTTGCTACAATGCACTCAGTTAAATGGCTTGATGATATCCTATTGTTTGGATTTCCAGTGCCCTAGATACATCTTATTTTAGATGTATCAAGTTCCTTATTTTCTATTTGTCAGAGGGAAACGGGTTCTTCCTACAACGTGGGGCAGTAGCATTAAACGAAGCACACAAAATGGGAAATGCAGCTCTGAGGGCTTCTTTTCCAACACAAAAATTTCTTCCTCGGAACACAGGGAACATCACATAAACACGCTGCTGAGCAGTGACTGCACCGTTTATAAGCAGGGCTGAAAGGCTGTCTGTTGCCTTCTGCACCGTCCCAGCCCACCCGTTCTCACAGCCTTATCTGTGAGGGCTAGAAACAGGCTCTGAAATGTACTGTCGAAACGACCCCCTTCTCAAAACAGAAATGTCCCCAGTGGTTACGATTTGAATTTAATCAAAATTATCCTTTCACACATTTCTGACTGTGAGGGCATCCTGGGATCACACCTTTCCCACAATGACCTGACAGGCCACACAGCTAGAACACAGAACACGACGAAGTCTGCAGTGCCAGGTAAACGGGTGGCAAGGCGTTAAAATGAACCGGGACCCACACGGCGAGCCAGGGTGCAGCACGCGGGCTCCCACATAAGAAACCCGAACCGACTCAAGGTCAGCTATGCTCAGGACGCTTGCGTCAAACCAAGCAGGACGCGCCAAGTAACCGCTAACCAGACTGCCCCAAGCAGGAAATGCCAGATACCTCTCGGAAGGGACTTGCTACCTTAGCCACGCAAGCGTCTTCTTTGTCTGCTTCTGTGGACACTGGACATTTCTGCACTGAGTGGGTGAGGAGCCCTCAGGGTCTGCGGTATAATTCATGAATTATGAATGCTCAAATAAACTCATTAAAAATGTAATGCACCTTATGTGTGTCTGTGTGTGGAGAGCAAGAGAGCCAGCGAGAGGCAGGCAGGCAGACACTAGGGACTTCACAATGAGCTACCACCCAACACTTCTTATTTCTAATCTCAAGACAGGGCCTCACTAACCCACTACACTGCCTTGGCCTCCAGAAGGCAGGGATCACAGCAGTGTACCATCACACCCTGCTCTAAATTTACCTTCTAAAAAAGTCTACAATTACTGTGTCTTGACCTCCCACAATAAACTTGAATTTGGCAGAATGTAATGACTAACAAAGTACAGTGGACCCTCAAGTTACGACCAGCATGACATATGAACCACCTGGGTTAATTCGGTTAAGGAAGATCCATCTGCCTCTTGCTGTCTATAGCATGGACCCAGGTAAACATCCAGGTCTCAGCTGTACTGACTTAGTTATAGCCAGCCCCTGGGAACTGATCTGATCAAGTTCTTAAATCAAGGGTCCACTGTGTTGTATTAGAGTTTATTCATCTTTTCTGAGGCATAAGTTTAAATTAGTTCCTTCTAGTCCTTTATGCTTTTATACACAGTGAAGTCCCAGAAAATCTATAATATTTTTAAAATTTACATTAGCATCGCAAAAAGTGTATCGTGCCACAAATTGCTTTTTACTATTCAACAGTATTATTATTTCCTACACTTAGTTATTTTTATTAAGGCAAATCCGGTACAATCTCTAACTTCTTTCACTAGCCAGCATGAAGGGTGTGTGTCCCAGCCTCCCCTCCCTAACCACCAAGGGACATTCCCTTGGTCTCTCACTGTCTACAAATCACTTTCCCTCTGGCCAGGGGCAAAACTTACCTCAGCCTCCCTCCACCCCCACCCGGAAGCGTCTCCACAGTCTACTTCCTCAGGCCAAAGTAATCAGCATCCACGGCCTTCCCAGGGCTCCGACCACTACCTGGGAACCTTGTAGCCCATTTCTCACAAAAGCCACCCAAGGGAAGTCAGAAAAGATGTGCAGCTGTGGGCCCAGCTGTCAGGAGTTTTCCTCAGCTGTGTGGCCTTCACCACACATATCCTTTTCATCCTTGCAACTCTTCAAAAAGTGTTCATCAAACCAACCACGTGCCAGTACTGTCCTTGAAGACACACTAGGACGTGAGGATGATAAAGGGGCAACTTCCACGGCCAGGGCAAGACTGTCACAGGCTCCACTTCAGCAAGCGCTCACAGTATTCTTAGGTGTGCACCTAATGCACTGATTTAAACTACTGTCAGGTACGTATTCTGGTATTTCAGCAAGAACCTGTCTTCTCAGGGAGAGAGAGGGAGAGAGTAAGAGAGACACACGGTGGGAGTCGTTTACGGTGTGAGCTAAATTTAATTCTACCCCATATTTAGGTAATTAAATTATCCAACTACTTGTTAGCGTGGCAACGAGAGAAGACACCTTGTCCTCACAAGGTCATCTTGGAGCATCCTGGTGGTCTGACAGGTTAGGAATTTCGCTCTGTAGGGAATTTACCTTTGACTTGCCATTTTCTACTAAGATCTACACAATATAAAATTATGTCAATCTACAGATATGTTTGGTCTGGTAAATATACAAGTAAATTCTTCCTGAAAGCGTTACAACTTTACTCCTTTCAGGAGATGACAGTTTTGTATAGAACAAATCTCTTTTTTAAGACAGTCTTGCTGTGTAGCCCAGCCTGGCCTGGAACTCAGGATCCCCCTGCCTCCACCCGGCAAATGCTGCGGATTACAGGTGTGCCCACCACACCCGGCTTGTGTGTAACAAACTTATTCCAAATTTTGTCTTCAGTTCCTCAAATGCTCTTTGAGCCAGCTTTGCATCCTATGATCTCACTGATAATGACATCTCTGACACGTGTGGATTTTGTAATTTCACTTCTTTCCCCTGCTGCGTTCTACCACTATCTCCACCACGGCTGTCTCCGCGCCAGCCCCCTCTGCCCCTGTACCAGCCTCACAGTTTGCACTACCATGGCTTCCCAGTAACTGGAAAGCAGTTCCGTTAAGTCTTATTAAATAAGTCTGTTCTAGGGAGAGAGATTGATATTGTGCCTCCGTTTCTACTGAATTTTGGAATTAATAATTACAAAGCTATGAGAGAAGCGATAGGATCTGACTGGGACTTCGTTACATTCTTAAGGAAACCCGTCGCTTGGACAGTTGAGTCACATAAGGAGTTGGTAGAAGCTTCAGGGGGTGGGGCCTAGTGGAGGTTTTCAGTGGGGGCCCCTTCACCCCGAATTCTCAGAGGATTGCTGTCAGGAAAGGAGCTGGCCTGGCCACCTATCTGCCTGTCCGTCTGCCCGTCTGGCCACCCGTCTGCCCATTTCGCTCCTGTTCAGGATGGGACTGCTGGACGCCACACAGCTCCCAACAAGACGTGCTGCTCCTCTGCTACCTTCACTGGGCCCAAACCAATGGAGTCACCCGATCCTGGACCGTGAAAACTACAAAACTATGAGCTAGGTAAACTTACTGTTTTCCTTCTCTCTGTACACTGTTTCTGGGTTTTGTTGCCGTTCTTTTTTGTCTGTGTATTTCTGCAGTACAGTACTGGATACTGCCCCATTTGTTTGGCAGTGCTGGGGACTGAATCCAGGGCTTTCACACTGACACACAACCCCCTGCCACTTTTTTAGACCAGGTCTCACTAAGCCACTAAGGAACTGAGGCTAGGCTCAAACTTGTGTTCCTTCTGCCTCAGAGCTTTTTTTCTCTGTAAGTCAACTGCCTCAGGTATTTTTGCTGAAACAACACAAACCTAATACTCAATTCTTCCTTATTTCCTTCAATAAAGGCTCTTAAAGTATATGTACACTGCATGAATTATTTAATTAAAAGAGCCAAAGTACACCTTTATACTGCTCTGGGGTTTTTAATTTTTTTTTTCTTTTTATTGAGTTTATTGGTACATTCTAGGTATACAA